AAAATGTTCCCACTGGTCACTGGGTTAGGTGTTGTGTGTGTGCAATCCTGGCTTCCAGGTGGTTGGGTGGTATGGAAGCTCTCACTGACAGTCCTGGACAGGCAGGGCTGTGCACATGTGGTCAGAATGGGCACATCTCTGGTTACAGGGAGAGGGTAGTGTGAGGAGTGAGGCAAGGGCCATGCTGCCAGTTCATGGGTGCCACTGCCCACTCGAGTACAATGCAGGGAAGGGTGTTCCATGGTCCATTGGAGGTGACTGGAATGGGTAGCAGGCACCACTGGTCTGCAGGCCCCTGATATGGATGCGTAGCTTTAGGAGCAGGTGACTCTGGTTCTCAGTCTCGTGGTGTCAGTGGCTAGGCAGAGGGTGCAGGAGTAGGTACTGCCATCCTATGAGCCCCTAACACCAGTGGCCAGGCAGAGAAGCCAGCACCACTGATCCATACGTAACTGTCATGAGTGGCTGAGCAAAGGACCATGGACCCCAATGGGCAAAGTCTATGACCCCTTGACTCAAGGGGCATGGTAGTGGACTGTTATCGAATATGCTGTGGATATGGATGAAGGGGGTGGTGCCACCATGGGTCTGAAAGCCTCTGGAATGGAGAGCTGGTCGGGTGTGGTGGGTGAGGTAATTTCACAGGGTAGGGAACACTCCTGCTTTGTTCTGGATGTGAGTGCAGGGTTGCTCTTGCTTAGTTGCACTGTTAGCTTTGTCTCAATATGACCACTCTGTGCAAGTTCTGCTAACAGAACACTGATGATCTATAATTCTCCATGTCCACTGCCCTTGTACAGTGTCTCCTCCCACTTGGCACTTGGTCCAGTTCTTCAGCTTTGCCTTTGGTGCTGAGACCCAAGTTGTTGTCTGTGTCTGATTCACTTGTTTTACAAGTCTCTGATGTAACAGGGATGTTACGAGGCTCCTGGCTGTGCTGCCAACATCTATGTTTTTTTAAGGCTTTCATCCTTTTTATGTCCAAGACTCATCAATGTCTCATATACTTGTATAACCTCTTAAGTGGAGACTTCATCAACATGAATCAAAATAATAAACTAACATTTATTACACACAAAGTACCAATACATTTTGGACATGGAGAGGATCTCAGAAAACAGTTAATATACCTCTCTGATCTTACCTTATGAAAATTAAGAATCAGAGAGAGAGAGGAGAGACTTGTCCATGATCACAAAGTGAGGTAGTAGCAGGAGCAGAATTAGAACTCAGGCCTCCTAACTCATAGTGAAAACTTTCCTTACCATGTCTATGTGTGCTCATCTGTGTTTTCCTGGAGTAGATGAAAATGAAGAAAGAACATACGCTACTGGACACATACTGAACATACATCTCTCTGCATGGACAGTTCTCAAATAGGTTGGGCTTTCCAAAAATAAAGTTGTTGTTGTTGTTGTTAAGTGCCATTGAGTCATAGCAACCCTCATAGATTTTCCAAGGCTGTAAATCTTTGTTGGACCAGAAAGCCTCATCTTTCTCTCAGGATGCAGCTGGTGGGTGGGCTGGAACAACTGGCCTGCGGTTAGCAGCCCAGTTCTTATCCTACAGAGCCATAGAGCTCCTCCAAAATAAGGTAGCAGTGGGAAAAAACAGTTTCCAGGGTTTCTCGCTCTCTCTGTCCCTTTTTCTCTCTTCAAAACCCCAATCAGAAAAAATACAAAACCTAATAGAAGCCTAGACAAGAAAACTTTGGTTGTTAAAGTAGAGAAGTCATGAAGGATGGAGGCAATTGTAAAACTTATCAAAACACTGTGTAAATATGTATTTTTTTCTATGAGGCACATATAACTAATGCATTTGGTAACTAATACATTCATTTATCTCTCTCTGCTTTCCATAAGATTGCCTGTTAGACTCTTAGACACTGCTGCTTACCAGAGGATTTCATATTCTCTAAGTGGAGTTCTGGTGTGGTGCTGCTGGATAAGCTCCTGGCTGTTAACCACATGGTGTGTGGTTCAAACCCACCACCTGCTTCTCAGAAACCCTATATATGGTCAACATGAGTCAGAATCTACTAAACAGCAGTTAACAACACAACAGCAAAGTGATGTTGGACCTGAATTCTGAACAGATTTTTTAATCATCAGTTTACTTAACAGTACTTTGCAGAAAAATATTGGTATTTATGGAATAGAAAGAATATTCTAAGATTTAGGAAGTTAAGCCCTTAGAATAAAGCATAGAATCGTATCATGTATTATTTTTAAAATATTTGAGGCTAAAGCAAACATGTCTTCAGTATGTCCTTGGTTGTTGTCTTAATGACCATCTCACATGCTTCCTTCATCTCAGTCCTGTCAGTAGGCCTCTGTTATAACTTCCAAATTAGAAATGTAGTTTGCCTGATAGATGTTATGAGATTTCAGTTTCACTTATAAATGTCTTCTAGCACATGATGACTTACCTTTCTGCTGGGAAATTAGTTGTGTTAAAAAGTACAAGCATGCTTTTAGAACTATAGGTATGTTTTGGTTTTGTACTAAATGGAGACAAAGGTTAATTATTTTTTAGATGATTTTTAAGCTGTTCTGGTTGACTTGTGTGTTTTGATATTAATGCTCTAAAACATCTGGCATAATGCTGTAAATCAACTTTGGGAAAAAGAAGTACATGTAAAATTAGTTTGTTAGAACTACAAGCGTCTGTCAAAAAGTATTGCTGCAAAAATTATAGAAATCTTTATAAAACAAAAATGTCAAAATGTGAAGCTTTTGTTTCTTGACATTTCCTTAATCTAGGTCTATACACTTTGGGCGGCTGTGTTTCCATCTCTGTAACCTTTCCTCACAAAGAATTTTACACTCTTCAATTTACATCATGTCAAGATAGCAGTTCTGGCATCCCCAGGGGACTAAAATTGTTCTTTGCATTGTTGGAACAAAAAGAATTCTGAAGGCACAAAATCAGGACCTTAGGGTGAATGGGATAAAGTTTCCCAGTGAAATCCGAAATCCTCGCTACCTGGAAGAATGAGCAGGCACACTGACATGATGGGGGAGATTTCCTTGGTGCAATGGTCCTGGCTTTTTTCTCACTAATGCAGTTTTCAATCTTAAAACTTCTTCCTAATAAGCTCCAATGATTGTCCTGTGTCTTTCAAGATTACCCCTTTGAAGTCCCCCAAAACAGTTAGTATGACCTTATATTTGAGTTGACCTCTCTGCATTGTGCTCATGAGGAATCTGTACCTGGACCAAGAGGTAGTTGTTCGAACAAAACATGGGAACACTGAATGGTTTAAAATTAAGAAAGGTGTGT